GGACCGGACCGAGCCGACCCGGTTCTGCTCCTGTGTTTGTGTGGGACCGGGCCGAGCCGACCCGGTTCTGCTCCTGTGTTTGTGTGGGACCGGACCGAGCTGACCCGGTTCTGCTCCTGTGTTTGTGGCAGACATCCTGGAGGTGCGGCAGAAGCCCATCCTGATGACGTAGCGGAGCTGGACTCCTCGCAGCATCACTACCAAGTGCCTCCTCCATCAGGCGGCGCCCCCGGTGTCCGGACGGAGACGACGCTCCGCAGACAAACCAGCTGTTCAAGAAGTGCCTCCTCCTCTTCCTCTTCTCACGTCCTGCAGTGTCCGGGGTCGTCTCCATGGAAACGGCGTCACCATCACGAGCTCGTCTGTCGGAGCGAAGAGGGAAGTGAAGAATGTTCGTCCTGTAAATATCTCGCTGCTTCGCTCGCGGAGACGCCTCCAAGGTCGAGACGCCTCCAAGGTCGAGACACGTCGGAGACGTCTCCGTCTTCTACAGGACGAGCCGTGAGACGCGCGTCCAACTCACCGAGGAAACGCTTTCACTGCAACTAATCTGAGATTCACATTTCTGCTCGTTAGGAACTCAGAAAGCTGCTTTGCTTCTGTAAAACTGCTTTTAGATGATTCGAAGTTTTAACGTCGTGAATTATAAAAGTGAATAAAAAGATCGAAGGTTTAAAATCTGGACGTTTGTCTGAAACAGCTGAAATCTTTGAGGCAGAGTTCATCGTTTGTCCTCAGAGTTCAACGTGAGGAAATCAGTTTAAATTTTTACTCCAACAACTTTTGTTTTTCATGTTTTGATAAAAGTGACTTTTGGTTTTAGGTTGAAGGTTTGAGTCCGTTCGTCCAAACGTTCGGGCGAAACGTCGTCGATCTTCTCGTTTCTTCCACGGGTCGTCTCTGGAGTCCTAACACTTGAACGGATCGTTTCTTTTCCTCCGTCCTGAAGCCTTAAAGCTCCGACCTTCTCTCTTCTCTGGACTTGAACTCCAGATGTTTCCTGCTGACGGACAGCAGCGCAGTTTGAAGTCGTTGTCTGAGCAGACTGGTCTCAGCAGCTGCTCGGTTCTTCCACGCGATGATCCCGTCACGGACGTTTGTTGAAGTTTAATAAATGGGAAGCTGTGACGGCGGCGGCTCCTCTCCATCAGATGTTTCCTGTCCCGTCGGTCAGTTTTGAGTTGTTCCGGTGTCTGAACAGTCCGGCTCGTCGTGTCCTCGGCTGAATGTATCCTCAGGAGGCGCTGCTTTTTAAAAGCTGTTGGTTCAAACGTTTGGTTGGCGTGCTCGTACTTCACGCTGCTCTCCTGCATGTTGCCACATTTCTGCTTCTGTTGCTCTCAGTTTCCTGTCTTTATTTATTAAAGTACACGTTAGCAGAACAACTGGTTGTGGCTTCTTACTGGTTTTATTGTGCTTGTGTGACTCGTCTCGTGTCCTTTGGCTCCTCAGTGAAACTTGTAAACTCTGAAGACGCTCGTCTGATGTGGATCAAACCTGCAGCGTTGGAACTCCCTGATGAACCAGACATGCAGGTTTCTGGTCTGGAGAGAACCCACAGGGAGAACAGGTAAACTCCACACTGAAAAGCCAGGGGGGGGCGAACCTGCGGCTATCTTGCTGTGAGGTGACGGCTCAAACCGCTGCTCCACCCACTCCCAGGATCATTGGGATTGAGAACTTCTACAAATTCAGCAAGCGTTCCTTGAAGTGCTCGTCACCCACCACCTTGCATGGCAAAGGTTTGAATGAAGACCTCACGTGAGCCCTCGGAGAGTGTGTTGGAGATGACTCTCAGCTGGTGCCAACTTTCAGCTCAGCGTCTGAAATGGACCAACAGGTAAGTGACGTCCATCCAGCGCTTCCTGACATGTTTGAACTTTTTTATTTTATTTTAAATAAAACTACAAACTGAAGGAGCATGTTTAAATTGTTGGTTTATAACTAAGAATTTGTTGAAAATTATTTTTTCTTTAATCTGTGAGGTTTATTTTATTTTCCAAGTAATAAAGATGAATACATTTTCATACCGATAACTCGAAGATTTTAGTTAAAACTTCCCGCAACGAAATGGGACACTCCGGATTCCGTGCGTTGTGATGTCATCAAACGTCGCCGATGTTCAAACACCGGGTTCAGCAACAGAACAACAAAATGTCTACAGATTTATTAATCGGCAGCGGTACCGAACACAAGGTGATTAAAATTAATATAAACACATTGAACTTGTTTAAAGTGAAATAAAAACTTACTTGGACTAAGAAAAAATAATGTAATGCAGCAAACATCGAAACCACGAAATAAATGTGAAAAACCAGTTTAAACAAAATGTAACAAATGACTCAGCTTTTGCTCAAGGCCAGCTAGCTGTGGCGGCCATCTTGGAATGATTACAGCTGAACATTCACTCATTTGAGTCTCAATAGAACCCACCTAATGGTTCATGGGATATTTTGCTAACAGACTAGCAGTTAAAGCCAGACTTCTCAGATATTAATGATCAGGGTTGAGGATGACCCTCAGCTACTACCACCCTGCTCAGGATCTGCCGAGTCGCAGCAATTTGTTAACGTGGACCAGATATTTTACTAACAGGAGTCAGAACCCAGTGTGGCTTCTCACAGGTCCTTGAGGTTCTACAGTGGACACCAGAACCAGATGAACAGGTTCTGATGGATCCGTCTGGTCTGTGGGTCTTACCTGGGTACACAGGACACCAGGTGCATCATGCGAACAAGGTCTGCTAGGAAACCTTGGACGCTCCTGTTGATGAGGTTTCTGTGACCCGCAGAACTTTCCTGAACATGGCCCCTGCCTCACTTCTAGTTTGGGCTCCAGAAAGTTCTGGACCAACAGTCCATGAAGGGACCACATCACACCGAACACGTCCCCTGAAGGTTGAGAGCGGTCAGGATCGCTCGGCTCGGACCAGAACAGGAACCAAACAAAGACCAGCAGGAGTCAGAGGCAGGTTTGTGTTTCTTTTATTCCCAGTAAATGTCTGTACAAACGTGAGCCTTCCTGAAGGCCAAAGACCCAAAGACCCCTGCACAGCCAGAGTTCGTGTTTACAGGTCGACAGAACCTTAAAGCGGGTCCAGTTCTCAGCTCCGGATTCTCCTGCCGACAATAAATAACCCAGCAGACGCACTTGTTAAAAAATAAAAATTAACTGTTAAAATGCACGCTTTTAATTTGTAAAACCAAATCGATTGACTCTTTGATTGGAGGGTTTTCTCCAAAAGCGACTGGTCTGGTTTCACGTTCGGGTTCAAACAGAACCAGAGGGAATGTAGCCGCAGGGCGACCCGCTTTACAACACTTCACAGCATGATGACGCAGGTACAGGACGGGTCCGCACGAGTCTGGACACCTGAGCGACCAGGAGACACGTGGCTGCGAGGAGGACCGGGCTTCAGTCTCTCTTCTGGTCCAGGGTCTTGTGGAGCTCGTCGGCATCCTCGGCGGTTTTGACCCGGATCAGGAGGGGGATGTGGGTGCCGGGGTTCTTGTCGTCGATGGGGGGGTTGGGGACGCAGACCACCATCACGTTGTTCTTCCCGAGCCGTGAGCAAGGCATGGAGGGCGGGACGATGATGTTCAGCAGGATGTTCCCTGACAGAAAGGATGGAAACAGAACGTTTATACTCAGATTAACAGATTAATAATCTAATGTTAAAAATCTTGGTGTTATTTTTGATCAGGACATGTCTTTTACCCCCCACATTAAAAACGTTACTAGAACCTCCTTCTTCCACCTGCGTAATATCACTAACATTAGAAACATCTGATCTAAAGATGATGCAGAAAAACTGGTCCATGCATTTGTCACATCTAGACTGGACTATAGAAACTACACCTGGACTATAGAAACTACACCTGGACTAT